TGAGGACTCTCTTGCTGTCCTGGATGGATCACCAAGCCCCACTGCCCCTCCCCCTACCTTCATGGAGAGTCACCTTCTACGCAGGGATAGGAATGAAGCACCTCTCAGAAGGACCACCAAGTGCCTTTTCTCTGTGCTTTCAAACACACCCGGATGTGCCACACCCAAAGGGGATGGTGGCCAGTAAAATGCACTCCACCGCCCAGTGTGTGACCCAGATCTAGTCCAAAGGAAACCACCACACACGGCAGATCGACTTCTGGCTCGGGCAGACATACCTGCCTGGAGACCTGGATGTCCTAGGAAAGCTCCCTGAGCCCCACAGAACCCGGGCCCTTGTGTTAGAACCCCCGGGGCACACAGGCTTCAGGAAGCCCCAAGGCTGAGCCTAATCAGAGCAGGGCAAAGCCTCTCTGGTGACCCCTGGTGGTAGCATGCTCTCTTGCACTCTCCCAGCAACACCCTGTACTCTACCCACTGAAGCTTACCAGGGCCCCCTGCCCTCTGCCTGTACCCACAGTAGCTACTGACCACACTCACAGGATGGCAACTCTCTCTGCCCACACCCGCCTTTCTTCACTTCTCCTGTGGGCTCATCCAAAATAGAGAAAGGCCACCCTTTTCCAGGTCTGCTTTCTCACCTAGCACCTCTTCAGCCTGTGAAAGACTTCCTTCCCCAGGCCCTTCCTCACCAGGGGATGGCCCAGGCATGTGGCCACACTTTGGAGAGCACAGGAGGACTGTGGCCTCTGGTCTTTAATGGTTGGCTCTGTAACATGAATAAATTAGTAATCATATTATGTTTGAAGACACAGAACAAAAGTGCTTACCGGAGGTCCCTTGAAGGAACTTGTGACTTCTGAGGCTCCTACCAACCCCTGGCTCTGTCGGCCCCTTCCTTGGAGAATACAGTGCTTGCTCTGATGCATGAGAGCCTGGCTTGCTCATCTACGGCATCCCTAGACAGGGTGAAAGTCAGGTATCAAGTTGGAGCTTAGCAAGGACATTTCCTGAAATGCCTGAGCTATTCATAACTGAGAATACGATTCGAATGTTTTTTTCTCAATCTAAAAGTCCCACTGGTTACCAAACTAACCTCTAATGGCTTGGCTCCTTTAGAAGAAAGCTCTCCAGTAAATCAAAGAAGTGGAAGTCAATATTTAACCTGGGACGTTCTGGATCAGACTCCAAATCAAAGCTGAATAGAAATGGGAGTGTGTTTGTGAGAGGACAGAGGCTCTCAGGTAAGAATTAATAACAGTTGTATTTTACCTCTTATTACCCCTGCCTAGTTCTGTATCCTAAATTTTGCTTGTATCAAGTAAAACTCTGGCCTGGAAGAAAAACTTCAAATTAATTAGTCTGGGTAGAACTTCCCCTGTGGGTTTCTGAGACTGGAACTGTTTACACCATTAGAAAGCCCTTCTTTCTCCTTGGAGCCATGGGTGGTTTTAAACTGCTGACCTTGAAGATCACAACCCAATGTGTAACCACTATGCCACCTAGGCTTCTAACATAATTTTAGACTTACCCAAAAAGTTACACAAGTAGTATGCAGAGAACCTGTGTACTCTTCATACAGCTTCTCCTAACACTAATATCCTACAAAACAAGGCACTGTCAAGCTGGAAAAAGAATATTGATACAATACGATTAACTTACCAATCTTATTCAAATTTTATCAATCCTTTTTCCAGTCCACCATCCAATTCAGCAACTCACATATGTTGATACTCAGCACACTTTTGCCCATGTAGTTTAGCATCCACTGGTCATTCTTGGCTGCAGCAGTTGTTACTACCGTGGTGTTGGTCAGAGGGTGAGTTTCTATTCCCTCATTCTTCTCCATTTACTCATTGGCATACACCTGCATGGAAGAGCAGCCCTTTCTCCTCAGGTTATGATTATTTCAGTAGAGACACTGCACCATGGAATTTATTTCTGACAAATGAATAGGAATAGATAAAGGAGGGCATTGAGGGAACCACCATATAAATAGAAGATAGCACCAATTCAACTGGATGTTGGCTCAGGAAAGGGAAGGCCAAAGATATGGGTGCCATTGTCCTTTCGGGTTTCATATTGAAAGTATGATAAAATAGGGGCAGTTGTGTGTTATGGGGTCTTTTTAAGTTGAAAAAGTAAACACAAATGCAGTGACCAGGCCTTGATTGAATCTTGCTTTAAGGTGCGGCATGGGTGGGGGGCTTGTAAATACAGCTTTAGAAACAAGCAGAGAAAATATGGTTACAGACTGGATATTAGGTGGTATTGAGGAAGTGTCAATATTCTTCATGTGCTAATGGTGCTTAGGGTATGCATGCTGAAGTTCGAGTATTTAAAGGTGAAGTGTTAAAATATTGACCCTCATCTTTGAATGTTTTAGCACGATACAGGCAGGTCAATAGAGATAAACTGTGCCAGCAATTGTTGACACCAGATGGAAAGTTCCTCGATCTTCATTTTGTTATTTATGCTTTAAATTTTTAATAATAAAGACTTTGGGAGAGAGGACGTTAATGTCCCTTGGAGGGTAGAAATGAGAGATACTATTTTCTTGATAATTGTATGCCAAGACTCAGAAAGCACAGATAGGACGGGGCTTAAAAAAAAGTTCACCAGGTGATGAAAATCAGCAACAACAAACAAATCAACAACAGTGGAGTAAATGATTTATTTGCCGTGATCTTGGTTTAGGAAGGTTACTTCCCCGTGTGGCTTTCAAAAGGAGCAAGTCCAAGGTGCTGATCAAATGGTGATAAACTCCCAGGATGCAGTGGGTGTTTGGGACCAAGCTTCTCTTCAGCCTGTACCTCAGAATAGCCCACAGAGTGGTTCACACCCACACCGCATTGCCTCAGGAGGTCTGTGTACTGGTGAGGGCTGAGTACTGGTAATTTTTTAAAAGCTCCCCAGGTGATTCTGAGATGCAAGCAGATTCTAAGAACTTAGAAACAAACTGAAATTTGACATGATGCAAAAGTGAAAACATGAGCCATCAGTCAGTACAAGTGGTTTCCTGTGGCCTGGGCTGTTTTCCCAGGGCCTCTCTTTTTTGCCAGCAGAGTGTTGATGGAACTCTAGGAACTAAAGGCCAGCAGGCTGTGTGGTCACCACGTTACTTGAATCTGTAGGGAACGGCAGGCCTGGACCCTTCCAACACAATCCACTAAGAGCAGGCAGAGTGTTCCCTGTAAGTGGGATGGAGGCTCGTTATTTGTCCAAGTATACATATGAAAAAGGAATCAGTGAGTTCATGTGTTTACATAATGTTTTTCAAATACTTAAACCACAAAAGTAAGGGCATTTTTAAAAATATGATTCACCACGAACAGTATTGGATTTCTTGTGGAGAAAGGAAGATGAAGGGGGTATTTGACTGTATTTAAACAGACTAAACGCTCCACACTCATTGCCATCGAGTCAATGCTGGTTTATAGCAAAACACCACCCATGGGTTTCTTAGACTGTTTAAGGGAGTAGAAAGCCCAGTCTTCCTCCTAAGTTGCTGCTGGTGGTTTCGAACTGCTGACCCTGTGGATTGCAGCCCAACATGCTACCACTATGCCACCAGGGCACCTTTTAAAAAGAATAGAGATCAGAAAAATGGAGGTCAATCAACTGAATGAAAAGGTATGACCTTTAAAATCTCCCAGGGATGGAACGTAAATTGATTTGATTTAAACTTTTTGAATATTACCAAACAGGACAAGTTCTGAACATTTTCCACAATGAATTCTCCGAAGCAGAGAAATCCCAAGCCGTAGGGCTAAGATGAAGAGACAGGGACTCAAGAATCGAGAGACCAGCAGAGGGTTGGTAGGTGCAGCTCTATAAGGGCAAGCCAAAGGTCAAGACAGAAACTACAACTTAAGCATGGCTATGGCCCAGAGGCCCTGAATTCTTAGTTATTGTCCAGCAAAGGGGCCCAGAAAGTCGTGGGCATTGTCCCTAGTCATAGTTGTGGCCGTCAAGCACATGGGGTTTCCTGTGTCATCCAGGAGGGGTCTGACAGATGAGCACTATTGTGTTAGTCTGGGTACTTTAGAGAAACAAATCCAGAGAAACTCATGTATAAGAGAGAGTTTTATATAAAGGTTAAGTGCACATCAAGAAAACATCCCAACCCAGTGCTGCCCAAACCCACAAGTCCAACATTAACCCTTATGTCGGACACCAGTCCACAAAGCCCTCCTCCATCTCACAAAACACCCACTATGACGCTGACTATAGGAGTAAAGTCGAAGCAGTGAACTTGCAAGCATCTCAGCACTGGCAGGGGTCTCCACACGGCTGCTCCAGCACCCAGGGCTGCATTGGGGTAGGTCCATGTGGCTTCTCCTTGGGGATGTCTCCCAGGAAGTGAGCCTTGCCAGCTGAAGCAGGAAACTGCTAAGACAACTGCACCCTGGTCCGACCACCAGAAAGCAAGAGGCCCGAGAACTAGAAAGGCAAGGCTCACCAAGCCATTTATCGCTCCACCCTTCAATTAACCCCACATGTGTTTATCAGCCAGGTTGGCACAGTAAACTGACTACCTGAACGAAGATAGAATTGTTGCCCACCCTCCTTAAGAGTCAGAGTTACATAATCACTGTCCGTCAAGGCAGATACAGGAAGACTGTGGGAAGTTCAGAAATTCAGCTCCCAGAGACACAAAGTCCAAGCACTGGTCTTGGTCTCCTATGATGTTATGAAAGATGTGGCAGAAGAGAGGGATGCTGGCCAGGTTGCTTTAAGCAGCGGTTCTCAACCTGTGGGTCGCGACCCCTTTGGGGGATCAAATGACCCTTTCACAGGAGTTGCCTGATTCATAACAGTAGCAAAATATCAGTGATGAAGTAGCAACAAAAATAATTTTCTGGTTGGGGGGGTCACCACCAGCTGAGGAACTATTAAAGGGTTGCGGCGTAAGGAAGGCCGAGAACCCCTGCTCTAGAGCAGGGGTCCTCAAACTGTGGCCCACCGAGGACATTTATCCGGCCTGCCGGGTGTTTTTGCCCCTTTTGGTTTTTTTACTTCAAAACAAGATATATGCAGTGTGCATAGGAATTTGTTCATAGTTTTTGTTTTTGTCTTAACTATAGACGGGCCCTTCAACAGGTCTGAGGGACAGGGAACTGGCCCCCTGTTTAAAAAGTTTAAGGACCCCTGCTCTAGAGCTTCAGTGTTTGTTCTTGTGAAAACAGCAGAACTTCAAAGGCCAAGAACCCTGACCAGGGAAGGAAAGAGGCTTGGAGGTGACTTTGGCCTTCTCCACCAGTGTGAGTGAAGAGACGTGTCCTCCCACAGCAGCCCCCACCAGGCATAAGCCCAGCGCTAGGTAGGCCAGGGGCAAGTTCAGAGGTTTGCAAAAGGAACAGAGTATGGTGCAAGGAGGAAAAGGGAGGTTAAAAAAAATGGCAGTTCAAATCCACCTAGACATGCTGTGGAAGAAAGACGTGGCTCTCTGCTTCCCAAAACCCACAGCCATCAAAACCCCTTCTGTCTGGTCGCCATGAGTTGACGGTAACTTGTCGGCTTTGCAAGAGGGGCAACATCGTTGTGAGTCATTGGCAAATTTGGGTTAGGGTCAACTCAAACTTGCTTTTTATAGAAACATCTCCCTTTGTCGCTGAGCCCTGGCTGATCCTAAGTAACCACAACAATAAATAATGGTCCCTTTTTTTTAGCACTCTATTTCAGGCTGATACAGCCTAATCACTCTTTTTTTAAATCAATTTATTGGGGCTCATACAATTCATCACAATAC